GTTGTCCATTTCTCAAAAGCAGTGGCTGATGATACAAAAGCAGTTTTGGAGGATTCAATGTCATTGGTGGTAACTGCAAAGTGAAAACAAAATCAAGTTATACAACCATTGATGTCTGCTGGACTACTGCCAGAGACCCAGGTTGTAATGATCATGCTGAAATGCGTGGCAGAAATCGAAGTCATAGATCCTCTGAGTGAAGACAGTGGGAAAATAACAAACCTGATGAAATTAAAGAAGCTAGAGAGGAATTAAAGGTGTCCACCTCTATCTTTTCTTCAGGACTAGAGCTCAGCTGCAGAGAAACGGTACCGAAGTAATCAGAATCTATCAGAAAAGAATCATGCTATACAAATGGATTCACAAAAATTTCATCATTACGAAATCAAGACTTTAATACAAAAAGGGAATCTCAGGAATGCTGAAACATTAATCTTTAGCTCTACAGAACAGCATTTTTTATAGAATCCAATGGTTGGACTCTACCCCTCCAATGATTACCTGGTGAAGGCAATGACATCAGTGGCAGCAAGGGATTTCTTCAAGAAGAAGAACAATTCAGGCAACTAATATACAATCAACATCAAGAACATAAATAATTGTCTTTACCTTGGTGAAGGCAATGTTAGCCTTCTTAACCCAATCTGTATCAGTGCTACCCCCAAGAACCGAACTAGCAGCAGATAGATCATTGTTGTCTATGGCTTGCCCTACTTTACTTAGCTTGTACACAAGATCTTGCAAATATCCTGCAACCGATCATTTTATTCCATAAATTAATACCATATATGTCACAGAAAGCATCATTCAATCAGAAATTGACAATGCGCTGAGAAAGATCTTAAAAAATGGTCCTCGGTGAATCACTAAACTGGGTTCATGTGCTTACTGCAGAGAGATAGAAAAAATAACTCAAGTGCATAAATGCGTGGTCCTCGGTGAATCACTAAACTGAGTTAATTTGCTAACTGCAGAGAGATAGAAAAAATAACTCAAGTGCATAAATGCTTCCTCCAGATTATGATATCAACAAGTTTATGCTCAAAACAAACAATTAAAAAAAGGGTTCAATTGTGGTGACTGCAATAAGATAATCTTAACCACGTTCTTCATTAGAAGTGAGATGCATAACACCCCAATTTGAAAGATCCATGCAGTCGAGACTTGCAAGAAGGCAAGTCTCTCGCACAGCCACGAAGAACAGTAGCTGAAACAGTATATTATAGTCAAGCTTCATTTTCAATCATAGCTCCATATATATTTATATATAGAGAGAGAGGAGAAGATGACAATCAAATTAGAATGAAGGCACCAAAAATTCATCAATAATAAACAGAATCAAGAAAAAACAAAAACACGGGTCCAATCAAAGTTATACACATTCTTGATGCATGGCTATGAAAGAATCCAAAAGGATATAACCTTTTTCCTTTTTAGCTGAGCTAATAACTCCTTGTCTTTCTAACCTTTTCTTTCTGTCCCTCTTAACTTTCTCCAATAATTCTTCATCATCATCAGCTTCTAGTATAGCTGCATTGGCACTAGAACTACCTCTACTTGCCAACGAAAATACAAAGCTGGTTAAGAAGCAAATGGACAGGCTTCTTTTTGTTATAATAATTGGAGAGGCGACTGGTACTGGAAGTGACTCATCACTGAGAGCTTTGCAAGAAGTCAATGGTCTCCTGGGATTACACTTTTGTTGTGGACCAGAAAACTGGAGAGGTCTATTTGTTAGGGATGATAAAGAAGATGGTGTTGAAGAGGAGAGGAAGGGTTTTGCAGTCGAGAGAAATGTAGTCGCCATTTTTCTTGATTTATTTATTTATTTATTGTTTCTTGTATTTTTTGGTGGGAAAAATTAGAGGTGTTGATAGTTTGGAAGTTTTTATTCTTGATGATAAGGTTTGCTGGATTCTGTAATCTGACCCAGTCATTTTTCAAATGCTTAAGCGCTTTCTTGTCTGGTTATCTTTTTATTTATTTATTTATGCTTCAAAACTTTCAACTTGAAAAAGAAAATTTCCTTTTTTCTTATTTTTGTTATTTCCCCAATGAAAGAGGAACCAAAATCATTGTTTTACCAAATTTTTTTGGCACCGAAAATACAGTGTAGACTCGAATTATAAAATTATAAATAATTTTTTTATTAATTATATATTAATAATTTCAGCCAAATAATAAATAATAATATAATATAATTAAAATAAAAATAAAATAAATAATTCAAGCATCTTAAAATACATAGTAAGTTAAAAGTAACAGGGTAACTAGTCAACTAATTTATGGGAAACCCAGAATCGGTTCATCAGTTATTCATACAAAACCAGGAAAATAAATTATCTTATACTTTTTATAAAATTGTAAACCCGATCCGATTTTACTAATTTTACACAAACAAAGTCTAATTTTACTAGTTTTTTATTTTGCATATTAGATGTAATTGACTTTTAAAATCGTATAATTTTACAAGTCAACTCTCAATTTTAACAAGAATGATTTCTAGTATAATAATATTATTTATTTTGAAAATGAGTGCCCTTGCTAAATATCTTTAAATGGATCTAGAACTTGTTTGGGAATGTGACTTGCTGCATGTTCGTAGCAAAATATTAATTTTATTTTAGCTTAAATTTGTTTTTTTTTTATTTTTGATTGATTTAATGTATTAATGTTAAAAATAAATTTTAAAAAATAATATATATATATATATATTATTTAAATTTATTTTTAAGTAAAATATATTTTAAAAAATAATCACTACTGCAATACCAAACATACTCATAATCTTTTAATTTAGTTGAAGGATATCACATCAACTACCAAAAAGAATATTGTTGATATAAGTTTGTACTACCTAAATTAATTTTTTTTTTGTATTAATCATAAAGGTATTTTTAGATAGAATATAAACATCAAATATTGATCGGTTTTAAATAAATCATTAATGCTTAGATCAATACATTCAGAAATATTAATTTTCATATTTAAGATTGAAATTTTGGATGATGATATGGAAAAAAAAATCCACTTATTTATTAATAGGGTTAAACCTCTGAAAATATTTGAAGTATCAACGTTATAAAACTTATTCTTGCTAAATATATTGCAAAGTTTATTACCTGGTAATTAACAAGTTAAAGATAGATGATATAGCAATTAATTTACTTTTATTATAATAAGAATCATATTAAATAGTAGAAGGTACTCTAGTGATGTATGTTATCAAGTTATTCAATTTTTAATTTTTCACATTAAAATATATGCTCCAAGCAATTTTAGAATTAAGAATAAACTCACCTTTCATACAAAGTTAACAGTTGATTATCAAATCAAGATTAAAGGATTTATAATTAAAGGATTCACATTAAAAGTTTAGTATTGTTATAACTTTTATCATTATAGTTTTTTAAAAGTTCAAAATTATAATTTTTTTCAAGCTCAAATTTTTATCACAATTTAAAATGAAAAACAAGTTTAAATAATAAAAACAAAACATCTTTTAAATTATAATATGATCTAAGAACATTACCAAACACTGCACATGTCATGGGCTGGAAGTCAAACGTAGATAGTTCGCCTCGTAGCAAAGTTAGCAAATGGGTCATTAGGCAAACATCTTTTTGTTATCACAACAAAAAAAACACAAGAGCTATAGCAAATTCATATATTTTGTACTGTTTTTTTTTTTTTAATAATAATGTAAGCCTCCTCAATTAATTCCACATAGTCTGAAATTAATAACAATATAAGTCTCCTCGATTAATTTCATAAAAGCTAAAATTAATGACTATATAAGTCTTTATAAGGATTATAAACACCACTTATCTCCACATTGGTATGATACTATCCACTTTAAGCCTAAACTCTCATGGATTTGCTCTTATGCTATATTCAAAAAGCCTCATGCCAATGAAGATATTTGTCCATCCTTGTATATCCATGATTCTTCCCACTTCTAGCTAATATGAGACTTTGATCATATACCCAACAATCTCTAGTAGCTCTGAAATTTATGAGACTTAAACTGATAATTTTTAAAAAATAAATTTAAAATCTGATCAATTAAACTATACCCTTTAAAATTATTATTGAGCGGAAGTTATTGATGCTTACTGAGGTTGGTAGATGCCACTCTTTTTCAAAAAATGTTATCTTCTTGTTTGTTGTGGAGTATCATCCATCACAACAAAAAAAAAACACGAGTATATTTTTTAACTATGTATATATATATTAACAATTATGTAAGTCTTTTCAACTAATTTTATGGGATTTAAAGTTAATGATTTGTATAATTTTTTTAATTAATTTCATAAATCCTAGAGTTAATCAATAATTATAAAATTTAAAATAATAATTTTTAAAATAATAAATTTAAAATTTAATTAATTAAATTACGAGTTGAAGTCATTGATGCTTAATGTGTTGATTGGTGGATGCTACTCTCTTCCAAAAAGAGAATCCATTACAAGGGAGTCGTCAAAAGATAATGAAAAAGTAGATTCCCCTACGTGTAGCATAGCAGCTGGTAAGGGAAAAAGCCCATAGGGTTGTCCTCCATTGACGACAACTTTGTTTACCTTAATTACCAAGCTCCATTTCCTTATGCCGCCTCTTAAACTAAAGATGGCACTTTAATATCCTATACATATGCAAAGTTGCTGTCAGCTCCCGCGTCGGAATCGAAAAGGGAGACGCGTCATTGGATTTTCAAATCAATTCTTCCTTCTTCTTTACTTGTAGATTTTATTGATGATCACCTGCCGACTTTAACTAGGTGAATCAGAAATTATAATACATCAATTAATCGGGTTTTATTAAATTAATATCTTGTTCAATTTATCTAAAAATCTAGGTCGATGGGCTAGAACAAACCGAGTTTTATAATATATATATTATTTTTTAAGATTAACATGGGTGTTCGGGCCAGCTTGCGCACACCTCGACTAATCTCACGGGCCCTGAAATTAACGACCATATAAACCTCCAATGGCCATCATATGAGCAACTCAGGGCTCGAACCTGAGACCATAGAAGGAGCAAACCTCTTGGTCCCAAGCTCTTACCATTGAACCACCACTTAGATGGTTGAGTTTTATAATATATTTGAATATACCACACATAGTTATTGAATCTCTAAGTTTTAGAGTGTATTTAAAAACATGGATTGTTGTATATTTTTTAAAATTTTGAATTTATTTTATCTAAAATTATTTTTTATATATATTTTTGAATTGTTTTGATGTATTAATATTAAAAATAAATTTTAAAAAATAAAAAAATATTATTTAAATATATTTTTAAACAAAAACCCTTCTAAAAGCAACCATACTATTAGCTCACAATCACTTCCATGGCAGACACTTTAATATAAAGATGAACTTTTCTCACTTTTAATGTCCACTTTCACTCTCTGCGATTGTTTTCCTTACCTTGAATCGCTATGATCTTAACATCTTTTTGGTTTTGCAGATTATGGGTGCATATAACTTCTTAATTATGGACTTGATCAGCCTCCTTTTTCCAGGTTTCTTTTTCTGGATTATTCGCTTGCCTAACCTCATTATAAAATAGATTTTTGTAACCAATGATGAAGCAGGAGAGTGTGGAGCTTGAAAGGCTGTGTAATCTTTTTCTTCGTCTGTATATGAAGATAGAAAATTAGTTGAAACCTACAAGACTCCTGTGCTCCAAGTAAACTTTCTGTAGAGGAATGATGCTCGTGAAATTTGGTGGTGCTACGGTTAAGATATTAGGAGTGTTTGTATACTGTGCAAATCATTTTTTTTAAAATTATTTTTTAAAAAATATTTTTTATATATTTTTAGATCGTTTTAATATACTGATATAAAAAATAATTTTTAAAAAATAAAATAAAATAATTTTAATATATTTTTAAATAAAAAATATTTTGAATCGCCACCATTATAATAATCTCAAACACAATATTAACATTCCTATAAGCAAAGTTGCTTCTGGTTTTAATGTTATATATATATATATATATATATATATATATATATATATATATATATATATATATATTGTGCGTGTGTGTGACAATAAATGGATGCATACATCACATCAGAATGCCGTCCCACATTTATACACCAATCGATCGGCAAATTACGTTCACATGTTAGATAGCTAATTTCCTTGTCCCTTTAATTGCGGAGATTGGTGGTACAAGTAATTTGATGTATTTTTTTTAATAAAATTTTAAATTAAAGTTTCATATATAAATTACATTATTTTAAAAGATTTTTATTTCTTAATAAACTGACTGAATTAATCAGGTTTATTGAACTTGCAAGACACCGGAATTAAAAAAAAAAAACAAAAAAGAGAGAGAGAGAGAGTCCCTATCCCTTTCAGGTTATAATTTTCTAAACGTAAATCCAAGATGACCCTAGTAATAAATCATATCATTGAATCCAAATTGTTCTCAAATCTCTCCATTCACGGTCCCTTTCTAATTAAAGTAGAATATCGACGGAATTAAAGTAAAATTATATTCTTGTCAAATTGGGTCGACATCAGCCGTTCATTATCTGTCACATTTGTCAGCTTTGAATTTGTGCTAAAGCTGATTGCTTTCCGAATCCTCCGTTCGTAAGTGCCCACCTCCTTGATTAACACACTTATTTGACTGTAAATTATGATTCTTTTAAAAAATATTTTTTATATTAAAATAATTTTTTTTTTATTTTTTTAAAATTTATTTTTAAAATCAATACATCAAAACTATTTAAAAAATAAAAAATAAAAATGTTTAATAAAAAAATAATATTTTTAAATATATGACTACATTCCGTTTCCAGACACTGTTTTAGCTTGTTTGTCTTTCATGCCTTCTTGCTTTTAAATACATGGTTTACGCGTCAAACTTTTATAGAGGGCTACAATAATGACTCATTTATGTCTATGATGGAATACTGCAAGTTGTTTGACTATTACTTAGTTTACAGGGCACACCCTAATTTAATTTGATAATAAATAAATAAATTATAGAAAATTATTTTACATTATCATTAAATACAGCTTTACAAGATGATAATCTTAAAATTTTTTATTATAATCCTATCTTATTATACAGAAATTACTTCAATATAAATCAATTAACTTATTCAATTTAAAAGATAAAGTCTAGAGATGTAATTGATTAAATTAAAAAATTAATAAAAAAAATCTTTGGATTTCACTTCTTTATCTTACTCTAATTTAAAATTAAATTATATAAAAATTATATTAACATGATTCATTTAAATTAAATGGTTTAAAAATAACCCGTGTAATTGTTAAACAAAAAATCAAAGTATAAAATTAAAAAGAAATAATAAAATTAAAAAAAATAAAGATAAAAAAGAGGAGGAGCGTCACTGTTATGCCAGTTTTTTTAAAATTAGAATGCAATTATTATTATTATTATTAAAGGATACGATCCCAGCAGCTTAATTAGCCACCATAGCACAATTTTTTTACTGCCTCGTTATGTGGTTTTTCAAGTTGTTGTTGTTGTTGTTGTTAAAGGATACGATCCCTCAACAACGTTGCTTTAATTCTTCAACTTAACCATTACACCAAACGGGTGTGACGGTGAGAAAAATTTATTACACTGAAACTATAACTATTAATATTTATAATACAGGAGATAAATAAACACAAGCAGAGAATAGAAAATCACATGTAAATCATTAAAAACGATAATAATATTTTTTCTCTTTAAAAATTATTTTTTTTAATTATCTATCTCATGTTTTTCTATCCTTATATTTATCTCTCTCTTATACTATATATAAAATTTGGTAATTATAATTTAAACACCATAGAATTTCATGCATGACCCCTTCAGGAAAAAATAAAAACTAAAAGGGAAAAACCAGTCGCTGGAAAGACAGATGAACATTCCCTTCACAGCTATATATGTTTTCTCCAGCAAAATTCATATAATAATAATAATCATCTTTTATATAATTCTTTTGAAAATCACTTCAATTAACTTTGTTTGATAAATATAAAATCGTTGACTTTTCATGATTTGTTTATTTTATTTAATCAAAATCTGTACTTGCAATGGAAGTCTTCCTTGGACGAGGACTGATATGGAAATTAGAGGACCTTTACGAAAACGAATATATATTGGGATATGGAGTTCTATCAAATCAAAGGATATGAATTTCTTTATCGATCATATTTCAATAGATATTTACTACTTTATATGTATGTATGTGTTTTATCCGGATAACCAAAATTTCTTTAAACTTTAAAAATATCTACATCTCTTGATATTATTACTAAACATTAAAATAAAATAGTTTTAAATTATTTTTTTCTCTAAGATAAATATTTTTATTAACATATTTCATGTTTATCTTAGCAAACATAATATTTTAAATTGAAATCATTGTTTATGTTAAAAAAATATTTTATAATTATTAAAACAAGTTAAAGAAATATCAAAATAGTATGTTCACATTTTATATATGATTAAAAATAAAAAAAATTATAAATATAATAAAATCATGTTTAAAATCTTTTAAAAATAAAAAAAACAATTTGAATCGATTTTTTATAAACAATTTATTATTACTATTATTATTTTTATATTATATAGTTAACAATTGAAAACGTTATTAAAATTTAAATAAAAATTATTATCGTCACAACCCACCCAACTTGCTAGATATTATTCATTTTGAGCTTTACTGTCCTCACAGATTTGTTCTTGATAATCACATATGATTTCAAAATAAACCTAACAAATTAATAATCAACTACTAATAAGATAAGTTATCAAATCCTTATGGATATAGAATATTATAATTATAATATTTAAAAATTATGTTAAAATCAAAGAGTAGGTGAATATGGTAAAGTTTTTTCTAAAATACAAAATAATAATAATAATAATAACTACAACAAAGGACCAAGACAGCGTGCCTACTCTTGCTTCTTTTTATTTTTATTAAGGGGATATATAATATATTATCATCTCATATTTTTTTTTTTAAAAAAAATCCTTTTATCGACCTCCCAAGATCATCTATTAATATATATATATATATACATATAATATTTTTATAAAGTGAATACAATTATCATCCCGACAAGCACCAAGTGTAAGTGCCACGTAAACTCCATGAATCCTTATTTCCTTTTTAACTGGTCTAGTGTCCAGTAATTTCTTCTTCTTCTTCTTGCCATCGCCATCCATTGCTGTTGTTTTTTCTTTTTCTTTTTTTTTAGAAATGACACTTGGCAGGATTGGAGAGGCTCGGTCAAAAGTAAGTCAATTTACGTTTTCAAAAAGCAGAACCACTTAACCACGCGCTTTAGAAATAGTGTGCTTTATTTCCAAAACATACAGCGCGATTTCTATCCTCTCACTAAGGTCTTTTTTCCTTACTGTTGCATATTTTTTTAAAAAAATATTTTTTTATTTATTTTAATTTATTAACATTAAAAATAAATTTTTAAAAAATATAAAAAATATTATTTTAATATATTTTCAAATAAAAAAAATCATTACTGTCAAATTTTATTTAAATATCATACACCAATTACGTGATAATTTTAATAATTAGAAAAGCTGACAACTTTAAAAAACAATTATCAACGAAGCACTACATATTTCAAAGATTTCCCAATTGGATCCCTTTTATCAATTTATGTTAATCTTTTTGTTATTTTTTTTAGAACAGCATTGTATTGTAGCATAAAATATGGACAGCGGGTAAAAAATATAATCAATTATTACTAGAAAATCTTAATTGATTTTTTTAAAAAAGTATTCAAGACTAGATTGATAAAATATTTTGATTTGGGACTCAATTGAAATGAGTGTATAGATGAGGGGCTAGTTTGAGGTTTTTCTTAATAATTAACATCTAAATAAATTAATTGATAACTTAATGGTATTTTAATGACGTCATTAGCGTTTTTTAGAGAGAACAATCATATTAACCCAAATGATAACCAAGCTAAAACCCTAATGACATAATGACATGAAACATAGTGTTAGTTGGACAATGATTTTCACAAGTACTTGTAACTGAAGATAACATGATGAGAAAGCATAGCAGT